TTCCCATTCTTCCCCACCTCTACTGAAAAGATGCTTTCTTACAGAAAACTAACTTGCTGATGAAGAAACTCCTTGTACTATGATCAGTGACGACAAAGTGATTAAATCCCAACAAAATTAAAACACTTGATGAGATCAATTAGTAAATGATAGAAGAGCAATTTTAGCAAGAAAAAACAGCGTTTGTATTGTCTAAATCCTGTTTCAGTGTTATGTTTTACTTGATCAGTAATCATTGCCTATACATATGATAGGTAACTGATAACTTTCACTCTCTCTTGTGAGATACAAAGAGGCAGTTTTAGCTTGTGTTAGTGTTCCTGTATCTTTGGTGGCTGTGTGTGCATTCCGTTCCCAGGTGCCATTTATATGATAGTACAGGTTTGGGGGACTGAGCTTTTGTATCAGCAAAAGGAGGTGACTTCTAGTATCAGAGGGGCAAGATTTGAACTTGCAAGTTCGAACTCAATTTTGATTTCTTCTTTCCCTTTCCTAGTACGGATTCCTTATTGTGTGACTTAGGTGCAGGGGTTGTGCTGTCCTTTCTCCTGCATAAGGGGATTACCCTTGGTTACCCTTAACTTCTACTGCTGATGTGTGATACCTGCTGTCACACAGATGCTTCCTGTGTGTAGATGGGTTCGTCGTGACAATTTGTATGTGAAATATTCTTACTGCTTGCTGTGTTAAGATGTTACAAGACAATAATGACTGACACTGTAAAACCTCTCATGTTTTGATTTCATCTTAAAATAAAACAAGATAAAATTTTTTTAAAGAAGTCTGTGCTGTCAGGAAGCAAATGTCACTGTTAATTACAGTTTTACTGAAGTCTGTAGGTCTATCCTCTACAGAAAAATACCAAATAAAATAATTTATTGCTTTTATAAAGGACTTTGAAAATACTGGCCACAGGATGAGACAGGAATTCCTGTGAAGCCTGGAATTTTTTCCTAAAGCATGTGGGAAGCAATCCTGCACCTCACACGTTTGCTTGGATCTAAATGAGCTGCTCAGGTCTGTGTGGTTAAGTGTACTTGTCTTTGAATGCTTAGTGGTTTCCCCCTGTGCTCACAACCTATTTGAATGCCCATACCAGATGATACCTTTTGCTTGTGCCTTGGAAAATTGTAGAACTGGTAAATATGACTGGAACACTTACCACTTTCTCAAAATCAAATGATTTAGTTCATGTAGTGCCAGCTGAAATACAGGATTACATGTACAAACTCGCCTGGGTCACTGTGATTATTATATTAAAGATCTGTGGCCTGAAGCTGGTGTTTGCTGCGTGTGCACGTGAACTTCTAGAGTGGTGTCTCCTCGTTGGCAGGGCTTACTGGGTGTTACTGGGGTTCTGGGTTTTCTCCTGGTGATGCTCAGCAGTGCCATCAAGCAGCAGGAAGGGTTTGCTGACCTTGCTACTTGTTTACTGCTAGAAGCTGATAATCTTGCTGAGAATGGACTAACAGTTCTCAGAGACCAGGGGATGTTTTACTCCTCGCTCCCTAATGAATCTCTCTCCTATTTTTAGGTGCTCTAGAAAATACCGTCTTTCAGAAGCTTCTCTGTTCTGAAACAGTGTAATTTCTATTTTCCCAGTTCTTGGTAGATAAAATCACAGAGTAGAAAAATGTGTGGGGTGTTTTCCTTTTCTTTTCCGAAAGGTTGTTTTTTCCTGCGTCCTCCCATAGGTACTTTGTTACAATTAAGCATAATGTGTTGAAGGGGATGAATTTAAATGCATTTTAGACTTTTTTTGTCCCAAATAGTGAGCTCATAAAATATATATCTGTGTATACACATATATTTGGCAACAAGGCAGTCTGTATTCCTTGGGTGCCCGTTTTCCAAGAGAACTGGAGCTTTTATTTGTGATCAGTGCAGTGACAGAGCTTCACTCTATCAGTACTTGCTCTGGTTGTTAGTGTTGAAAAAGGGTTTGAATACTAGCAGTGCTGCTCTGCGGACTAATGAAAGGACGAATGTTTTAGTGTTAGATTTCCCTTCTTGTATTCGGTCATTAACCAAATGTCATCTCCACAGGGACTGTAGAGCAAAGACAATACCATAGCTGGTTGTAGCATTTCTTTTGTGCTGCCTTATGAATCTTGGCTCTGGCATTTTCTGCCTAAATGTTAATATAACGTTATCTGCTGTCTTCATTTTGGTAGGAATAAGAATGACTCAAGTGTTAGAAGCTTGGCTGAAGATGTGAAGGTCTTGCTTGAGCTGCCACTGTTTTTGATCCTGACAACTTGTAAAAATTGGGCAACTCTATGGAATTTGGAGGGCTTTGTGGTTTTTTTTTAATAATTCAAAGGGAAGGAAAAATTCCCCTGTAAGAATGCTATACTTTAAAGCCTGACTACTTAGAAATTAGGGGGAAAATGAATGATAATTAAAAGCTGAATGTCTACTTTGATGGTTTAAATCCTGGAGCAACTGCAGTAATCACTCGGTCTGTATTACAGAAGTCCCCAGCATCTTTGGATAGTGGGAGGTGGGTCATGGTGTGTTAGATTACGATTAGTCAGCACCTGAGAACTCTCTGCTGAGTTGGTGTCCGTTATAATATTCACCCTGCCTGTCAGCTCTTAGGAAGGAATACAGCCTGATGACAAGCAGCCAGCTGGAGAAATTTAGAACCTTTTTTTATAAAAAGAGTGCAAAAAGTCCTTGTTTCACATAGACCTAGAAAACGGCGTTGTCTGTAGTTGCTGGCGGGGTGTTCTAGCTTTATGCCATTTGTTTTGAATTACTCTGCAGGTTTTTAGCGCTGAAACAGGAGACCGTCTTTGGGACCAAGTCTAGTGTTTTTCAAGTATATATGAAAGTGTAAGTTTGTTCTTTCTGAAACTTACGTTTCAAAGCCATTTATAAGAGAGGAACTAGTGCTGATATTTGATATAAAAAAAAAAAAAAAACAGTCTGCATAATCTAAAGTTGTCTTAGGGCATTCAGCTGTAGGGGAAGAGCCGTCTCTGCTGTTAGCTCACTACACAGTAAATTGGTCTGATGTACAGGAGAATTCGCAGGCATCTTGAAACTTAATTTGTTTGATGTCGCTATCTTGAAACATTTCCCATTGAAAACTTCTGAAATAGTTCTTTTGGCTGCTGTTTCTGCCAGTGTCCTTACCTCCTCCTCTAGTCCTCAGGAGTTTGAGCGCAGCTCAGACAAACTCAACAGCTTCCGAGAGCTCGGCTCCACATGGGTTTTCCACGTGGGTTTTCAGCAGTAGAGCTGGTTTAGCACAGCACCACAGTTAATCTCGGGTTGATACAGCAGTTCTTAGGACTGTGCTGAAAGCTGGATTACCATTGAAATTTAAATACAGAAAGAAGGGGGACTGTTTCCCCCACCACTGCCTTTTAGAAGATCACTGGTTGCTGAGGTGGGGTTGAGCAGGTGTGACAGAGAGAGTGCGTGCAGTACCGTGCCCTTTTTGTCTTCAATCTCTGATGTTTTCATGTGAATCGGATTACTCAACAGAAAACTTAATGCTTCGGAAGCAACATTGACTTTGGCAATCCAATTATGGCAGTATTAAGTTTTGTAAAATTTTTATATGAAAGGAGTGGTTGAACGGAGGCCATACCACTGACTTCTATAGGCTTAGTTACTATTCAGGTTTCATTATGTTGTGACTTTCCTATTTACTCTGAGGATGGTGATTTATGTCCCTTTAATTACAAGGAGGTAGCTGCATGAGCTCTGAAATTGTTCAGCCGATGTTACATACTATGTTATGTCTGCAAGCATTGAACTAGGCTTTGTTTTG